AACGACTTGTTTATTCTGCTACAAAATATAACATTAAGTAGTTTCAGTGAAAATATTCAAATTTTACATAAAGATCAGTTTCAAGGTAAAAAAAAAAAAATCTGGTTTTCAATTAGTTCTAACTATGCAAACCCTATAATCTTAGGAGTCTCCCTGTCAAGCAATTTGTCCATTTTGTTGCCTGTTAGCACATTTACCAGACAGCAGCAAAAGGAGGAAGAGAAAGTGAAATTTAATTTATTTGATCCTTATTAGCTGCTCTGGTTTGAAAAACTAATCAACATCTAATAATTATTAACTTGGCTCTTCAACTGCAGTTGAATCTCAGGCTAATGTTCTCTCTGTGACCCAGTGTATGTATAAACCAACTGCGGCAGAAAGGAGGGAAGGTGGAGGTGGAAGAGGGCATTGAGGCAATAAATAGTGATGGAAAAATTCTAAGCATTTATAAAAAATAAAATAAATGATAATTTACTTCAATTTCACTAGAATGAAGTTTAAAAAAAGTAAATTTTGTCATGTTCAATGACAAAATTCTGTCATTACTGAATAACAGAATATTTCAGAACAATGAAAACAAATTTCTCTCTAGTTAACTCTGGAAAAAAATATTGTGAAAATTCTCAAACAAGTTTCTGTAATATATCTCAACAGTTCAAAGATGCATGTGATTTTGGGACCCTGGTTAATCCTTTAAGGACAGCAGCATAAAAAGTTTCTAATCCAAACCTTAGGGGTTGAGATTCCTCTTGACATGTCCCTTCTTCATTGTAGAAGATGGTCTTTGATAGGAGATAAAGTGGGAAGGTAGCACAGGGAACCCTGGGAATTCATCAAGGCTCCTCTAATTACAGGACGATCTGAGAGGAAAGGTGGAGCTACCCTACAGTGAAAGGTCACTTGTAGAGCTATTACTGCCTGGACTTCTTTAGACTGCCTAAGTGGTTATGTTAATTTTATTCTAATTCCTGACACTGGCTTACCCACCACCCAGAATCTCAGCAGACACATGGGAAGACTACACCCCTAGAAGGAATCTGTAGTAGTGAAAAGAACCTACTGGCCATGGAAGATCTACACTCCAATATCTTCCCAGAAACTATGTATAAAATGAGTCATGTATGTATGATTCTTGAAATATACAATGCTCACTTATAAAGGAAGAAGTGAAATCATTTGCTCTCTAGTTCAATGATGAGTGCATGTACCCTTGATTCTGCCATTTATTAGCAAATTATGTTAGGCAAGTTATATAACCTCTCTGAAGCTCAGTTTCTTCATCTATAAAATGAAAGTAATAACAATATCTATATAATAATGTTATTGTGAGAATTAAATGAGTGCTCAGAACAACACCTGTGTCAGTGTAAACCCTCAGTAAATGTTAGCAACTACCATTCTCAGTTGACAATGACAACAAATCTTTGGTTACAAAGCGACATTCCTGACTGCAACAAATATCCTGGATTAATGTTATAAATAGATGCTAGGTTGTCCCTCTAAAAATTGGGTGGAACAGTACTAACCAACCTCACTGTATACCGTGACTAAAGTTTTGACTTCCCTTCAAAAGAAAAGTGCTACTAAATGGCTAAACACTCGAATGTTATTAAATTAGTGAGCATACCTTTCCAAAGTAATGAGGGAATTTGTGTTGATCTTCAATGACATGAGCAAACCCTCCTTGAAGACCGAAATCCACAGAGAAGTAAGGTAAGCCTTTAGGCACCTAAATAAATAAATAAATCACATGTAAATGCAACACGAAATCAGGAAGTCATGTTTAACCCTTCTTTTTGATGTCTGGCATGTCAGTAACTAAGAATCCCTCAAGAAAAAGTAAAAAAATTAAAAAGCTGAATTTCTAATCTAGAAATACTGAGGAAATGACCTAACACTCTATGAAACACATTTCATTTGGTAGCCTTTCAACCAGATAGCTCTTCATAATCCAACAATTTCATCAAAAACAATTATTATTTATTTTTTTAAATATATTTTATTGATTTTTTACAGAGAGGAAGGGAGAGAGATAGAGAGTTAGAAACACCGATGAGAGAGAAACATCGATCAGCTGCCTCCTGCACATCCCCCACTGGGGATGTGCCTGCAACCCAGGTACATGCCCTTGACCAGAATTGAACCTGGGACCCTTCAGTCTGCAGGCTGACACTCTATCCACTGAGCCAAACTGGTTTTGGCCAATTATTTTTTAGGAATCCAAAATGGCGGCAGAGTAAGTGGAAACTACAGTGACTCTCCCAGGACCAAACTGGCATACAACTAAAATACAGGAAAACCATCCTGAATAATCAACTGAAGACTGGCTAGAGAGAATCCTGATAACCAAGGATGGAAAGTGGAGATCCCATCGTGGCTGTAGGAAGGGTTAGGCGTGAAAGGGCTGGCCGGGCTCCCACAGGCAGCAGATGAAATTCTGGAGGGATATCTCAGCTGCAGGGGTTCCTACTGAGAACTAGGGCCACCTAGCAGAGGGTACCAGAACAAAGAAAGATGCCCACATAACATCTGGCTGTGAAAAGCAGCAGGGTTGCTATCTGTCAGGGAGAGACAGCTGGAAATGCAGGAGCCCTCTTAAAGGGCCAGTGCACATTTTCATGTACAGCCACTCACTTTGGGCTCTGACAGAGAGAGGGTAGAATTAGAGCTGTGTGAGGAAATTCCAAGGTTGGGGGTCCTGGGCTTAGAGATTGGAAGGCAGCCACCCCAATTTCCTGTGCTAAGTCATTCCCTCAAGCTGCGGAGGATATCCTTCTCAGGTAGATCTTTATTATCCAGGCAACTTTTGCCTGTGGGGGCAGCATCTACCGCACCCTGTTGGAAAACCACTAACCACAGCCTGTGGAATCTACATCTTGCTGTGGTTGATAGCCTGAGGCAATTGAGACTGAATAACAATCAGACTGTAGGCAGAAGTGGGTCTCTGGCGGTTTTTAGTCCTTGCCTGATCTAATTCATAACCTGGAGCTAGGGAAAGCAGACCTTGGCGCACATCTTGGTCCTTTTCAAAGGCACTGAGCACCTGCAGAAGGAGCCACAAGCTGTGCATTGCTGATAGTTCCAAACAAGGTATTCAGGGCCAGTCACCAACAGCGTTTGACATTGTCATCTGCTAGCGATTGGGAGTTGTAGCAGATCTACCTAATACACAGACACAAATCCAAACAGGCAGCCAAAATGAGAAGACAAAAAAACAAACAAACAAAAAAGGAAAAACAAAACAAAAAAACACAAAAAGACAAAAAAACAAGCCCCAAATGAAAGAACAAGAGAATTCTCCAGAAGAAGAGCTAAATGAAATGGACATGCAACAATTATCAGAATATAGCTCTCAGAATAACTATTGCAAGGATGCACAGCTGCATGAGAAAAGATACCGAAACTATGAAAAAACACCAGTCAGAAATGAAGAATGGCATAGCACTAATAAAGAATACAATGGAAAGAATAAACAGAAAATTAGGGAAGCCTAGGATCAGATGAATTGGTGAATTAGAAGTCAGAGTAAAAAAAAAAGCACTTAATCGGAGAAACAAAAAGAAAAACAGGGCAGCTTAAGGGATAGAACACAATGGAAAGAATAAACAGAAAATTAGGGAAGCCTAGGATCAGATGAATTGGTGAATTAGAAGTCAGAGTAAAAAAAAAATCACTTACTCGGAGAAACAAAAAGAAAAACAGGGCAGCTTAAGGGATTTGTGGGATAATGTGAAATGTAACAATACTCACATCATAGGAGTTCCAGATGGTGAAGAAAGTGAGCAAGGGATAGAGAACTTGTTTGAAGAAATAATGATAGAAAACTACCCTAACCAGGTGAAGAAAAAAGTCATACAAGTTCAGAAGGCACAGAGAGTCCCAAACAAGAAGAATCCAAACAGGCCCACACCCAGACACATCATAATTAAAATGCCAAAAATTAAAGACAAAGATAGGATGCGCTTGGGGAGCCAGGCATGGTGTTCCGCATGCGAGTCTGCATGCGGCGGAAAGAAATGGAGGACTCTGCTTCAACACCACCCGCAGCCTCAACCGCAACTCCAGCCTCGACCTCAGCAACCCCAGCCGCACTAGGGCAGCTGGATAAAGAGCAGGTCCTTGCCTCATGGTATTCGGTCAGACTTAGCAGATATCTGTTTATTTACTAAGGACGAACCCAATGTAACTCCTGAAAAGATGGAACATTTTTATAAGAAGCTTCTAAACAAGCATGGAATAAAAACTATTTCTCAGATTATACCCCTCCGAACTTTAAAAAAGGAGTATAAAGCCTATGAGGCCAAGCTCTGCCTCCTGGGTAGTTTCGACTTGTTCCTTTCTGATGCAAGAATCCGGCGGCTCTTACCCTCACACCTCGGGAGACATTTCTATAAGAGAAAGAAAGTTCCAATACCTGTCAATCTTAAAGCCAAGAATCTTTCCCAAGAAATCAACTCATCAATAGGTGGAACTGTCTTAAACATCTCTAAAAGTGGTTCTTGCAGCACTATCCGCATCGGTCACACTGGAATGCAGGTTCAGCACATCACCGAAAACATTCTTGCTGCTATGGAAAAGCTTTCACAGAAATTGCCAAAGAAGTGGGAGAGTGTGAAACTCTTATATGTGAAAACTGAGAGATCAGTTGCCCTTCCTATCTTTTCTTCATTTGTCAGCAGTTGGGATGAAGCTAAAGGAGTGAACATTTCTAGTCTGAAGAAACAAGAAGCAAAGGAAATATCAAAACAAAAAGAACAAAAAAAGAGATGAAAGGAGAAGAAAAGAAACAGAAAGCCTATGAAACAGGGTAGAAAGTCTACATCAGCCCTACCTACAGAGGAGATGGCCTCTAAAACTTGTGGTTCTCCAGTGAAGGGCCCTGGACCCCAGAAGAAAGAGACCCCTAAGCTTGAGAAGAAAGAGACCTACAGAATAAAAACAGAAAATAAAGTGCAAGTTGAATCTGAAGAAGAAATTCCATTACTGGTCCGAATAGGGAAAACTCCTGTCAAAGAAAATGTAGAGATGCAGAAACCTGCCACAGGAGAGAAGTCTCCAGTAAAGAATCCTGGTTCCAACCCACCTCGTGGGAAGAAGTGAAAGGCCTTTCCAGCTTTGGAGATGCCGAAAGCACCAGAGCCCAAGACCCCAGGTAAAGGCCCAGGGAAGAAGCCAAGAGTCAAAGAAAAAGTGGAGAAGCAAAGAAACTCTCCTTTGGGGAAAAAAGACCCAAGACAGATGCCCAAAAAGCCAGAGGCCAAGTTCTTCACTACAGCTAATAAGCCTGCAAGAAAAGCTTCCTATACCCCCAAAGAGTGGCCCCCCAAACCCAAAGTGCCTGTCACAGCCTTCTCCAAGAGTGAGACCTGGACTTAAAACCTCACAAGTGATTCTGACCTATGTTTGTGGGTGTAAGAACCAGTAGTTTGAATAATCCATTTTTTAAATTGTTCTTTCATGTATTAGCTAATATAATAGAAATTACAGTGCTTTTATTAAAGTGTAACATTTGCTCCTGAGTAAACTATTCCGTATCTTGTTAGTTTTACTTGAAAAAAAAAATAAATATAGACAAAGATAGAATTTTAGAGGCAGCAACAGAAAAACAATTGTTACCTACAAAGGAGCTCCCATAAGGCTGTCAGCTTATCTTTTATCATAAACTCTACAAGCCAGAAGGGAATGGCATGAAGGGTTCAAGGTAATGAAAGGCAAGATTCTGAAACCAAGATTACTATATCCAGCAAGGCTATCATTCAAAATAGATGGTGAAATAAAGAGCTTCCAAGGCAAAAAAAAACACACACAAAAAAAACTAACAGAGTTTATTACCACTAAACCAGCACTGCAAGAAATGCTAAAGGAACTGCTATAATGAGAAGAAAAAATACATAGAGAGAAACATAGGCATATTGAATACAAATGGCAATAAATAAGTACCTATCAATAATAATCTTAAATGGAAATGGATTAAATGCTCTAATCAAAAGACATAGAATAGCTGAATGGATACAAAAACATGTCACAAACATATGCTGTCCCCAAGAGACCCACCTCAAAACAAAATACTCATATAAGATGAGAGTGAAGGGATGGGAAAAAATTTTCCCAGGCAAATGGAAATGAAAAAAAAAAAGCTGGGGTAGCAATACTCATATCTGACAAAATAGACTTCAAAATGAAGACCATCATAAGAGACAAAGAAGGCCACTTCATAATACTAAAGGTAATGATTCAACAAGAAAATATAACCCTTGTAAACATATATGCATCCAATATAGGAGCACCCAAGTACATTAAACAACTCTTGATGGACCTTAAAGGAGAGATTGACAGCAATACAGTCATAACGGGGGACTTGAACAACCCACTGACATCACTGGATAAATCTTCCACACAAAATATTAACAAGGGAACAGGGACCTTAAATAACACTAGATCACGTGGATCTAAGTGATATTTACAGAACATTTCACACCAAAGCAATAGAATATACATTCTTCTCAAGGGCACATGGAACATTCTCAAAGATAGACCACATAGTAGGGCATAAAACAAGTCTATACAAATTCAAGAAGACTGATATAATACCAAGAATCTTCTCAGATCACAATGGTATGAACTTCGAAATCAACTAAAATAAAAACACTCAAAAACATTCAAACACATGCAGGCTAATAGCATGTTATTAAACAATGAATGGGTTACCAATGAGATCAAGCAAGAAATAAAAAACTTCCTGGAAACAAGTGAAAATGAACACACAGCCACCCAAAACCTTTGGGACATGGCGAAAGCAGTCCTGAGAGAAAAGTTCATAGTAATTCAGGCCTACCTCAAGAAACAAGAAAAAATACTAATAAACTATCTAATCCTACAACTAAATAAACTAGAAAGAGAACAGCAAGAAGAGCCTATAGGAAGTAGAAGAAAATAATAAAGCTCAGAACAGAAATAAATGACAGAGACTAAGAAAACAGTACAAAAGATCAATAAATACAAGAGCTGGTTCTTTGAAAAGATAAACAAGATTGATGGACCTCTAGCCAGACTCATCAAGAAACAAATAAATATAAACAGAGATGAAAGAGGTGATATAACAACGGACACCACAGAAATACAAAAGGATTGTGTGTAAACCAACTGGATAATCTGGGTGAAATGGACAAATTCCTAGAAACATACAATCTTCCAAAACTCAATCAGGAAGAATCAGAAAACTTGAATAGGCAATAACAGCTGATGAAATTGAAGCAGTAATTTAAAAACTTCCAGCAAACAAAAGTCCTGGACTGGATGGATTTACAGATAAATTTTGCCAAACATTCAAAAACAACTAACACCTACCCTCCTTAAACTATTCCAAAAAATTCAACAGGAAGGAACACTTCCAAGCTCTTTTTATGAGGCCAGTATTATCCTAATTCCAAACCAGATAAAGACACTACAAAGAAATAAAATTACAGGCCAATATCCCTGATGAAAAAAGATGCTAAAATCTTTAACAAAATATTAGCAAATAAGATCCAGCAATATATTAAAAAGGTCATACACCATGATCAAGGGGGATTTATTCCAGGGATGCAAGGCTGTACAATACTCACAAATCAATAAATGTGACACATCATATAAAAAAATTGAAAGATAAAAACTACATGATCATATCAATAAATTCAGAAAAAGTATTCAACAGAATATAGCACCATTTTTTGATAAAAACTCTCAGTAAAGTGGGAATAGAGGAATCATACCTCAACATAATAAAGGTCATATACGAAAAACCTACAGCCATCATAATACTCAATGGGCAAAAACTAAAAGCATTTCCCTTAGGAACAGGCACAAGACAAAGATGCTCACTTTCACCGCTCTTATTCAACATAGCACTAGAAGTCCTAGCCACAGGAATCAGACAAAAAGAAGAGATAAAAGGCATCCAAACTGGAAAGGAGGAAATAAAACTGTCATTATTTGAAGATGACAGGATATTGCACATAGTTAACCTTAAAGTCTCCACCAGGAAACTACTACACTAAATAAATGATATTTGGCTCTGTTGACTAATGAGTTTGCCGACCACTGTCCTAGCCGGTTTGGCTCAGTGGATAGAGCGTCGGCCTGGGGACTGAAGGGTCCGGGTTTAATTCCGGTAAAGGGCACAAGCCTCGGTTGCAGGCTCAATCCCCACTAGGGGTGTGCAGGAGGCAGCCGATCAATGATTCTCTCTCATCATTAATATTTCTATCTCTCTCTCTCCCTCTCCTTTCCTCTCTGAAATCAATAAAAAATATAGATATTATAATATAAAAAAAACAGCAATCCCATTTACCATTGCAACAAAAGAAAAGTAAGATATCTAGGAATAAACGTAGCCAATGAGGTAAAAGACCTGTACTTGGAAAACTCTAGGACATTGAAAACAGAAATAGAGGAAGATACAAAGAAATGCAAGTGTATATACCATGTTCATGGATTGGAAGAATTAATATCATTAATATGTCTATACTACCCAAAACAATCTACAAATTCAATGCAATCCCTATTAAAACGCCAATGGCATACTTCACAGAGTTAGAAAAAATACTCCAAAAATTTATATGGAACCATAAAAGACCCCGAATAGCTGCAGCCATCTTAAGAAAGAAGAAAGAAGTAGGAGGGAACACAATACTGGATATCAAACTGCTCTACAAAGTCACTGTAACCAAAACAGCCTGGTACTGGCACAAAAACAGGCATATAGACTAATGGATCAGAACAGAGACCCCAGAAATGAAACATCATTACAGTCAATTAATATTTGACAAAGGAGGCAAGAACATACAATGGAGTAAAGACAGTCTCTTCAACAAGTGGTGCTGAGAAAACTGGACAGACACTTGAAAAAAGATGAAACTAGACCACCAACTTACACTATATACAAGATAAATTCAAGGTGGATAAAAGACTTAAATGTAAGGCATGAAACCAGAAAAATCTTATAAGAAAACATAGGCTGTAAAATCTCAGACATCTTATGTAGCAATATGTTTACGGGGATACATCTTCTAGGGCAAAGGAAACTAAGGAGAAAATAAACAAATGGGACTACATCAAAATAAAAAGCTTCTGCACAGCAAAAGAAACCACCATCAAATTGAAAAGGAAACCCACTGAATGGGAGAACATATTTGCCAATAATACACCTGATAAGGGGTTAATAACTCATCTGGCTCCTTCCTCACCTGCTGTGACTCTCAGATGCGGCACTATGCAGGACTTAGAAAAAGCAATTGGTGCTATATCAAAGTTGAATACACAACTACTAAGGATTGGGTATCTTTTTCTTATTTTCCATATTGGTTAAGTTAAAATATTAAAACCCTCTGGGTATTTAAATACGTATCTAAATTTTAAAAACAAACTTATAATAAGTAGGTGATAGTTTACCAGTACAAAAACTGCATATGCTGTGTAGCAAATGGAGAATAAAACATTTATTTTTAAAATTTCTACTTCAAAATACATATTTTTGACTGCCATTAAAATCATGTTCTAAAAGAATATTTAATGGCATTGGAAATTATGATATGCGAAGTGAAAAACAGGCACAAAAGATGTGCATACATTAGCTACCTTTTTCTATAGGCTCCTAAGACAGAAGCATGTAGGACATTTAGGAGAGTTTTTATGTATTGTTTTTAAGTATACTGTCTAGCTCCATTCACTTGCAAGGGAAAAGAAAAAGATTGTAGAGAATATTTTACCTCTGAATTAAAACTATCTTCGATAATGCATGAAATTTGAATATTTTGACTGGGATATAATAAATGTAGTAAGGAATCCTATCATTCACATGTACCAGGAGTTAGCTTTCCAAAAGAAGAAATGGGAGAAAAATGTTCTAGTGATATCTACTACTAGAACAGGGTCGGCAAACTTAAAAAACTTATAAAAGTTTCCATTTAAATAAAGTATTTGGAGGCTTTGCAGATCATAGTTTCTGTTGTAACACTCATCCCTGCGCTTGTAGCATGAAACCTGCCAAAGATAATACATAAACAAATGGGTGCAGCTGTGTCCCACACAAACAGGCGGCAGGCTGGATTCAGCGCACAGCCTGAGGTTCCCAAACCCTGCCCTAAATATAAGCTCCATCAAGTCAGGGACGATCTCTGTTTTGTTCTACTACGTATGAAAAGCACCTAAATAGTGCCTGGTAAATAGGAGGCACTCAATAAACATCTGTAGACTAAATTACATTTTTAATAGAAAAATAAAACGGAATTCAGAAGTCTATCTTTATTTCGTTCCATTTCTATTTCTAGAAAAGAGAAAGGTCATTAAAAAATTACTCAACGTATGTGAACCTTACATCTAAAAGTTGATCTGGTGCTCCCCCTCCCAGAAGCATGCCAGTGCCTTTCCCTCCCCCTCTGCTCCCACACGTGTGGAAATTAATGAAGATCCTTAACACTAGGGTAATTTCTTATATTAGAAAAAAAAATACTTACAGACTTTCTGATATCTTTGGAAGACAGATCAATCAATTTCTTGTTCATAGACCACTCCTCATCAGATTCCATTATGGCTTTCTAAGAAACAGGCATTTGTTAATGAAAAATAATATATATGGAAATACAATAACACAGCTTAAAAAACTCAAATACAGTAAATGAATTTCAGGGCATATTATACATGGTAAGTCATTATTTTGAGTGGACAGGCTTTAATTTGTGTTACTTAAAATTGGAACTTCTTGATTTTTTTAAAAGTCCTATATTGAGTCAAGAGATAGTTTTCTCATTCTTAACGCTTGTACTGAAGTTAAGATCAGCTCAACTTTATATGACAAAAACCATCTTTAATACAACCAACCAATTTACTATTGCACAAAACTGTGGACATAAAAGGTCACAAGTTCCTTCCTCCATTCATAGACATCTACTACAAATAAATACATTTCGTTTTATTGCTCTTCTTTTAAATATGAAAAGAGTAATTTCTATGCCTTCTAGCAACCAAGTAGTTAACACTATTTCTGGCCATATAACAAAGAAGTAAAAGTGCAGGGAGGGAAAAAACATAGAAATGGCAATATAATACTTTCTAATCTAAGCAATAGACTAAAATTTATGGTAAAGAAACGTTTAATAGAAAGAAAGGCTAGGGTGATGAGTATAAAATAATCTCTTGTTTATATAGTACTAGAGGCCCGGTGCATGAATTTGTGCACAGGTGGGATCTGTCCAGCCTGCCCCAAACAGGGCGATTCAGGTTGGGCCTGCCAGCCGAGGGGGGGGGGGGGGGATAGCCACAGGTGGTTGGCCAGCTGGCCCCGCTCCCTGGTCAAACTCCGGGTCAAATTCCGGGGCAAGGGGACAATTTGCATATTAGCCTTTTATTATAGGATTGTAATTAATGAAGCAACTTCTAATGATGAAATTAACATTCAAATAAGCACAATTTAAATACATCAGATATACTGCTGCTCCCTATTTAAAAGGCGTGGGTTGCCCTAGCTGGTTTGGCTCAGCGGGTTGTCAGGCTCCATCCTCAGTTGGGGGTGTGCAGGAGGCAGGCTCTCAACGTTTCTCTCTCATCATTGATGTTTCTCCCTCTCTCTCCCTCTCTCTTCCTCTGAAATCAATAAAAATACATTAAAAAATAAAAATAAAAGGCATGGGTTACATGTGTTGGCACTATAATGTAGCACATTCTTTATAAAATTTAAGCCAAATCCGCTCTACCCAATTTGGCTCAGTGGTCAGCCTGTGGACCAAAGAATCCCGGTTCAATTCCAGTCAAGGGCACATACCTTGGTTGTAGGCTCTTTCCCAGCCCAGGCCCTGGTCAGGGCTCATGTAGGAGGCAACCAATCAATATGTTTCTCTCACATCTATGTTTCTCTCTCTCCCTCAATCTTCCACTCTCCCTAAAAATCAATGGGAAAATATCCTTGGGTAAGGATTAACAAAAACAAAAATTTAAGTCAAATCCAATAAACACATCTTTAACGATCATATGGTGTGCCCATACCTCAATGCCTATTGTCACAATCAATCAGGACTATACTGAGGAAGTACAAAACAACAAACAAACAAACAAAACCCACAGAAGAACAGTATAATAATCTCTCAACTGATTTTCTTTAACATAGGATTTACATTGCCATCCTATACTGTCTAAAATTGCATTTGCAAGTCTTCCAACAGTATCTCACAAAACATTACCTCCTTTCTTTATTGTGCATGTTACTATTTCATATATGGTTTTATATTTATGTATTTATATTAGTCTATTAAACTATATTGTATTCAGGTCAGCATCAAACACATGCTATTTAGTAAGTTTCTTGAATATTATAACACTTAACCAAGTGTAGTCATTTACTATATATCCAAAAATGTATGTCAAAGTAAGATATTAGTTTCTCTTTATAAACAGCATAATGAGGTATGAAATACTAAAACTTACAGCAATAACTTGCTTTAGCAATTGCTATTTGTACTGTTTGTATATAACTGTCTATGGCTCTCATGAATTTCAATGATAAGTTTTCTAGAGTTATGACTATAATTTTGACTTGGAAATACTCAAGGTAAAACTATTTTTCATTTGAGAAATGAGAAATTGGAATAGTAATTATAAATTATTATTTGATATTATATGCACACTCATAAAAAAAGCATGCTTTTCAAGGCCAAAATCCAAAATTTCTTTCCATAGAAATTTATAAAGAATTTTTTGTGATTTACTTTATGTATTTATATAACATAAAATTTTATTTAAGTACATTGGAGAAAAAATACAGAATAAAGATAACTGTATTCATAAAACTGCACTATAGCAAAATACAAGTACACATGTAAAGACTATCTATAAATACCTTAAAATAGATGGGAGCCATATCACCCACTTCCTTTGGGAGAGGAATGCATTCATAAACCATGTGATATTGTTTCTTCATGCTCATGTTAGTTTCTAAAAAGATGCAATCCAACCCTTTATCTTCAAACATCTTTACCAATGATTTTCTAAACATCTGAAGAAAGGGAAATAAAAAGAAAGGTAAAGAAAGCACTTAAAGAAGATTCAAAATACGAAAATAATTAAAAGTACAATGAATGCCTTTAAAATAAAAGACAAATTGTAAACTATATCTGAACTCGGTAATGTTACTTTGTAGCTGCTTTACTTTCTACATCCAGTACATAATTTCACATATTTAAGCAACATTTTTTAAAACTGAAATTCACACTGCATAGTTTTATGTATATATGAAATGGTTCCAATAAACAAAAATAACGAAAGAGATCAAATCAAATTCAGGTGGTAAAATATGCAGAAATTACAGTAAAATATAGAATAACATCCATATGCCAAAAAAGGTATTCTGAGCAAGCAGGCATCCTTTAATTCAGTAACAGACAAGCAGAATTCACTTCTAATTGTTTCCCTATGCTCACAGCATCTTCATTTGCTGGTTCCCTTACATGTTTGCTGACCCTTCACTTGTAACCTTGTGTATTCAAGCAATCCCCTATTTCCAGTCCTACCAAGAATATGAAAATCAAATATACTAAAGATGAAAAGAGTACTTTCTTTTCCCAAATAGTTCATCATTATTACAAAATCACTATTTTTTTAATTTTTTACTTATTTATTTTATTCACATTTCACACTCCTTGACCTGAGGGTCAGTTGTTTGTAGAGGAGCTTAGACATGGAGTCCACAACTTTAACATGGATTCACAGGACACCCCTCGTAGTATAGGTGGGGGCAGGGATTAGAAGAAGAAAGGGGAGCACTAGGGTGAAAACCAGAAGCCAACTCTCCCCACAGCATCATGTGCAGACCCCCGGTGGTCTGAGAATTACAAATTCAAACTTGGCCTAGTAGAGTGTTATGCATGTATATTTGTCCAAGTAGGGAATGAAACACTTTTTATTTAGATTTATCAGCTTGATTTATAATTCTTAAGTATCTTAATTAAAGTTATTTTGTTATGATATAGATCACATGTAGAAATAATACAGAGCAATCCCTTGTGCTCTTAACCCAGCTTCCCCCCATGGTAACATTTTACAAAAGCACAGACAAACAAGATACTAATATTGCTGCAGTCAAGATACACAGTGACTCCAATACTATGAGGATGTCTCCTGTTGCCCTTTTCTAGTCACACTCACTCCAACCCCCATCTCCTTTCTTAAACCCTGGCAACAACCACTTTGTTCTACTTTCTTTAATTCTGTCATTTCAGGAAAATTATATAAACTGAATCACACAATCTTTTGGGGTTGGTGTTTTTCACTTAGCATAATTCTCTGGAGATTTGACCAGGTTGCTGCTGAGACATTGCCTAGAAGTTCAAGTTCCCCACTCAGCCTCTGTTGATACCCGAAAAGGGAAGAGGCTACTTATTATTGTGGGTAGGGGATGAACAATCTGGTCCCAGCCAGGCCTCCACTGCTCATCTACTATTGTCACTCACCACTTTTCCATCTTCCACTCATTTTATGAAGTAAGAGCAAGTAGAAAAGGGAGGGAGGGAAGGATCAAATAATTATAATTTGAGGTGAACTAGAAAGGTACTTAGTAACAACAAGCAGGGGATTCACTTTTCATTTCTGACTGCAGCAATATAATTAAGTTGAACATAGTCTCTTTTTTTAATTTATCTTTATTGTTGAAAGTATGACAGATGTCCCCCATCTTTCCCCCTCTCACCCCCTCCACCCCATTCCCACCCCCTCTCCAGGCCTTCCCCACACTACTGTCTGTCTAAGGGCTATGCATATATCCATATGCATTCTTTGGTTAATCTATTCCCATCCTCTACCCCCCACCTTCCCTCTTCCTGGGCACACAAGAAAACCAAATTTCCAGCCTCTCTGGGGCTTAGGTGGGGCCATATTTAGCTCTGAGCAATGAATGCATGTAGAAACGATATGATATGTATGGCCTATGTGTTGATGCAGCTCAGAAGCAGAATGCCTTCTCATGTTCACTGTCTTCCATCCCAGGTGCTGAAAGGGAAGGACTCCACACAGAACAGCCTTATCAGGGAAGGAGCCAGATGCCTCAATTACTGCTTATAGGCGACCTGCCTTAGAGAACTGTCTGTCCAATCCACACTGGACTATGATATAAGAAATTAACTTTTGCTGTTGCAAAGTTCTGTGAGTTAGGTTTTATTTGCACCCTAACTGAAGAATGACAAGATGGGCAATTCACTGACATCAGGGATATAATTGAAGCTGGTGCTGAACCAGAAAGCAACAATAGTTAACCCTGTTGTTCCCGCTGCTGAAATATATGTCCCAAATAGTTACCTTCCTATCATATTATATGGACAAAACAACTAAAAAACAAAATCAAATGGGAAATACGCAAATTTAGCTTTAGAATATAGTTTATTAGATTATCTCTAGTTTGTTAACTTACTATGTTTGTAAATTTTTATTTATTATAAATATTTTCAATTAATTGTTATTTACTTCATTTTCTAGTTCTGTAGAGAGAAAATAATTTTATACACTAGAAAAAGGAAAATTATTTTCTGTATAAGTGGAACTATATATTTGAAAACCAAACATTTTTGAAGAAGGGAAAAAGTGAATAAAAAGCAGGAACAACAATAATAAAAATTTAGGCAATCCAAATTATCTCACAGACTTCCTTCCTTCCTGATTGTTCATAATCCTTCCCTGGCTGGAAGTAGTGGAGACAGACTCAAGATGTCATGAATTATAAATGAAAACTCAAAAGTACTAAATGAGTAGTGATAAAAGAATAGTACAATATTATAAAATATATAAACATCAAGCTAATAGCTTCAAGGAGGACACATACTATTGTAAGTACTTCCGCACTATGAATATAAAAGACTTTAATTTTAAAATGAGTTTAATGGTGTAATTTGAGATTACCAATTCCATTAAAGCAGGATTCTGCCCCCGGAATTCAATATAATGAATATACTATACATATTTAAATAATATTCATTTTTTATAGTAATATGAAAACTAAACAGTGAAGAAAGCTCTTTAGTTCACTGTGATACCAAAACTATTTTATGCTTCAGAGAGATACAGAGATCCCATGTTATGGGGATAACATAAAATTTCCACATTCCTAGTGGAAAATACTTCACTTTTTGGGTAATCACTATTTTCCACATTTCTAAGCTATGATTACTCACCAAATTGCTATTCCTCATTTAGGTAACACACCTGAACTAAAATTCCTTATAAAAATCAAGTAGGTATGAATAAACAATTTTGAAATGAAAATGAAAAATATCAAAGCTATCATAAAATAAGCACAAAACTACTAGAACAAATAATGAGAGAAAACACTAACGATCAGATCACCAGGGATTACCTGACTTAAACACTAGAAGCGGGTTCACACCTGGGTGACATAGGGGGCGGGGCTTAGCAGGGACAGTAAAGAAGAGGGCCAGGCTGCAGAACCCTCAAAGGGCTCAGGACGGGCAGCACCATGTAATTGTGGAAGTGAAGGGAAGGAGTGGTGAAAACAGACGGTGCCCGGGCCAGGCGGCTCGGTTGATTGGAGTAGCATCCCATACACCAAAAGGTTGTGGGTTCCTTAAAAGTGAAGTATTTTCTACTAGGAATATGGAAGTTTAATGTTATCTCCTTAACATCAGATTTCTCTCTCTCTCTGAAGGATCCCAGTCAGGGCGCATACCTCGGTTGTGGGTCTGATCCCAGGTCAGGGCGTGTAAGAGACGCAACCAATTGATGTTTCTCTCTCACTCTTTCACTTCCTCTTTCTCTCAGATAATCAATAAACATATCTCCAGGGAGGATTAAAAACAAACAAACAAAAACCCAGATGGCATAGGTGGAAGTCTTTAACACACCAGAGGCCCTCCTCCACACCAGCAGAATACGGTAGGATTATCCTTTGTAGAAGGCGGCTGGGATAGTTGAGATTCTAGAGTCTGAAAACAGGGGCACTATAGGAAGTGTTACTTCATGTTCTTAAATGTTCAACATTTTCGCACTCCAGCCTCTTCCCTGACTCAGCTCCCAGAACACTGGCCAGCTGGTTTAAATGCTCTGGGCAAGAGATTAAAAGGGTCTTTCTAGAGATTCTGATTGGCCCCAAGAAAAAGACATAAAGGTACCCACACTGGAGGTTTCCCAATGAAATGACCCCATCACATCACTCCACAGTGAAGTCCACTGTAGATGAAAATCAAAGAGTCTACCACCATACTGCCAATTTGGGATATTTAAAAAATGGACCTATAACATATGTTCAAACATATTTGTCAAACTGATAAAAATAAATTTAAAGGGGACAGAATTTCACTATGCATTTAATAAAACTAAAAATTTGGAACTTTATTCATTCGAAATTTGTAATTATTCCCATATGTTTTGCTGAAACTTATCTTTGCATTTTTATTAAATATAAAATCTAAGATTAAATTTAAATGTTACTAGAGGATGGGGAAAAAGTCACTTGAAAGAAATGGCTCCTGTATTTGCAAACTATATATATATATTATAATTTTATTGATTTCAGAGAGGAAGGGAAAGGGGGAGAGAGATAGAAACATCAATGATGAGAGAGAATCATTCATCAGTTGCCTCCTCGCACCACACATTGGGGATGGAGCCCACAACCCAGGCATGTGTCCTGACCGGGAATCAGACCTTGATCCCCTGGTTCATAGGTTGACGCTCAACCACTGAATCACGCAGGCTGGGCTGCAAACAATATATTTTGCTAGGTCTAATCATTTTTTAAAATATATTCTCTAAAAGAGGTGAATGGCCATAAGAATATTCAACAGGGTGTAATTTGAGTTTTTATACATATTTGGAAGTAAGAGCTATAATGCCATTATTTATATGAAACAATTTGGTTTTTCTTCCCTCACTCAATATTCTGTAATTCACATGGCTTACAAAATCTGCTAAACTATAATGTAACCTGTACTAGAATATGCCATACCTCTGGGCAGAATTAATGAATGCGTTTGTCTCTGCATTTCTCACAACACTTGGATTATCTTATACTCATGTATTCAGTATATGTTGTACTGAATAAATTCCTTCTTTATCTACTTCAATGTGTTTCATAAAGTAGCTTAATTTCTTACAGAAATATAAAACACACAGACTTGATTCCTGTATTACCTAAAATCTTTCTGGCACTGTATTTTGTTCTAAATAAAATCAGTTTTGGTATATAAATTTTTTATTTTATATGAGTACCCCTTTTTTCATTCTTTTTTTTAATTGATTTTAGAGAGGAAGGGAGATGGAGAGAGAGATAGAAACATCGATGAAAGAGAAACATCCATGAGCTCCCTCCTATAAGGCCCCACTGGGATGGAGCCCATAACCTGGGCATGCGCCCTGACCACGGATAGAACCGGCAACCTCTTGGTGCATGGGACGACGCTCAATCCCCTGAGCCACACAGGCTGGGAAGTATATATACTTTCCAGAAACATTTCAGAAAAGTCCCAAAATAATTCTGAAAACTGAATTTGCATACTTTTCACTTGAAATTATTTATTGCACTGACATCCACTACTAGAAAAAAAACAATAAATTTTCACATCAAATATATTAGTCCACATTCTTACCCTTGCTTGGCCATAGATGCATTAAAACAGTCTGTCCTTTAACTTTCCCAGCACAAACTTAAATATTCCACGGAGAAAGAGACTTGAATTTCATTCAATGCAGTTAAAATAGCTCCTCTTTTGGCATTTTTACTGGCATCATGAAAAGACTAGTATATAGTCTAGCCATTTTCACATTTTTCTAAGTAGAAGTCCCTGTATCCCTATTCAGCGGTCAGGTATTTAAAAAACAAGAGTTTTCATTCTTTCTTTCTTGGTGATTATGAGGTCTTGAAATAATCCAGCAGCAATTTCAACCATACTATTATGCCTTTCAATTTCTTAAAGCTCCCTGACACATACACAAAGTCCCTGAATCCAAACTATAAGCCAGGTTATAAAGGGAAAAGTGCAAAAATTAAAGCTGGTAACAAATCCCCACAAAATCTCAACAGCAGAGACAGCCAGTTCCATTACAGAAAAATAAAACAACTGCTGAATATAAACATCTAACTTCCAAAATTTATTTTTCATTATCTAAAAATATCTTTCCTTTTGACTGTAACTTATTAGCTTACTGTCGTAAGCATGATTATCTCATGTTTCACAAATGCACAGATTAAAAATCTTACATTGGCCCTAACTGGTTTGGCTCAGTGGATAGAGCATTGGCCTGCGGACTGAAGGGTCCCCTGTTCGATTCCGGTCAAGGGCATGTACCTTGGTTGCGGGCACATCCCCAATAGGGGGTGTGCAGGAGGCAGCTGATAGATGTTTCTCTCTCATCGATCTTTCTAACTCTCTATCCTTCTCCCTTACTCTCTGTAAAAAATCAATAAAATATATATATTTTTAAAAATCTTACACTGACTTTTTAAAAGTAAAAATAATAATTACTTTGTCACAGTTTATTTAGTAGACAAAAGCGTTCAGTTGAACACCTGAAACTAATATATTATATGTCAAAGTATCTCAATTTTAAAAAAAAAAATTTTTTTTTTTAACTTTCAAAATGTGGCCCTGGTTGGGTAGCACAGTTGATTAGAGTGCCATCCTAATACACCAGGTTGCAGATTCGATCCCAGGTCAGGGCTCATACAAGAATCAACTAATGAATGCATCAATAAATGGAACAACAAACCGATGTTTCTCTCTTTCTCTCCCTTCCTCTCTCTCTCTGAAATCAATCAATAAATTTTAAGAAAGTAAAAAGCTTCCAAAGTATGCAGTACATAAGGGATCATGGTGAAAATACCATGATCCACAGATATGCACAACTATATAAATGTATACAAGTTCAGAAAGTTAAAAATCACTGGATGAAGGTATAAACTTGTTGAGATTTATCAGAATAGTTTGTAAAAATTGTTCATAAGCTTTACAATGATAATGAACATTATCATGCTGACCTGAATTTCCTCCCAGATGTCTTCATCCAATAAGGTAGCGGCTCTATGGTGCTGCAGAGGGACTATCAGGCAGTGACCCTCGGTAAGAGATTGAAAGTTGGGTAAACATAAATAAACCTATGGGGGGAAAATTGCAAACATGAAATGTTATTGCTATCTATTCTCAGTTGCAACAGATGGACCCTTACTAGGGAATACGGCTAACATTTAATAATGTATACATGCCTATAAGCAATATATTTTAATGTTTTTAAAAACATTTAATATTTTAAAAGCCATGAAGATAGCTTTTGTTTTTAAAACTAAATCTTTATTGTTGAAAGTATTACATGTCTGCTTTTTTTCCTCCACTGACCCCTTCTAGCCTGTTCCCGCCTCCCCACGCCAGGCCTTCACCCCCTACATCTGTGTCCATGGGTTATGCATATATGCAACAAGTTCTTTGGTTGATCAGTGCCCACCCACCCATACTCCCCCACCTTCCCTCTGAGATTCTGCAGTATGTCCTATGCTTCTATGTCTTAGGATCTATTTTGTTCATCAGTTTATTTTGTTCATTAGATTCCATATATAAGTGAGATCATGTGATGCTTGTCTTTCTCTGACTGGCTTATTTCACTTAGCTAATACTCTCCAGGTCCCTCCATGCTGTCTCTTTTTTTTACTGCTGCATAGTATTCCACGGTATAAATGTATCACAGCTTTTTTATCCACACATCTACTGATGGGCACTTGGGCTATTTCCAGATATTAGCTATTATAAATTGTGCTGCTATGAACAGAGGGTGCATATATTCTTTCTGATTGGTGTTTTGGGTTTCTTAGGATATATTCCTAGAAGTGGGATCACTGAGACAAATGGCAAGATAGCTTTTAATTAGCTGGAAATTAATAGCATAAGTCTCAGTTTTAACTGTTACACATCAAAGATTAAGCTTACCTAAGGGCAGAATGAAAGACACTTTATCCTTGATCTGAAAAAGGTATAGGCTTTCAAAGACCTTGGTATAATTTTGCAAGAATAAAAAAAAAAATACACGGCCTGGTAATAGCAGAAATGTCCAACTGACACTTATTAATTCAGACCTTTCTCTCATTGGCTGAGAAAGGAGAATTCACCCAACTAAGAGAGAAAGGAAATAGCCTCTGAGTGGCTGTACTTCTCTGGCTAAGTTCTATTTATTTATATACATGTATTAGCTACAAGCTGGAGCTACTTTTCCATTGTAATTTATCTGTTTTTAGAAAGGGTTAATAGGCCCGGCCAAGTGGCTCAGTTGGTTGGAGCATTGCTCCCCATACACCAGAAAGGTTGCAAGTTCAATTCCTGATCAGGGCACATACCTAGGTTGCGAGTTTGATTCCTAGTATGGGAGGCAACTGATCAATGTTTCTGTCTCACATTGATGTCTGTCTGTCTGTCTCTATCTCTCCCTCTCTCTAAAATCAATAAACAGATCCTCAGGTGAGAATAAAAACAATAATAAAAATAAAAGGTCAATCAGTATGTGTAATAGTGAGCAAAAGATATTCATGAAGAGCATCAATAATATTCTGCATAGTTGCTTGATCATATTTTCTGTTATTTTTTGTTAGGGTTTAGCTAGAAATATTTTGTATGGCAGACAATTTTATTGTTTTCTTTATTCAATAAAATAATGCAAATTTTTAAAACTTTGCTGAGAAAGGACCATATTCACAATTAAAAACAGTATCAGTAGTGATTCATTAATTGTAACAAATTTACTATACTGACATAAGTTGTATTAACAGAGAAAACTGGGTATAAATTATATAGAACTCTGTACTATCTTTTCAGTTTTTCTCTGAAAACTGCAAACTTTCACTCTAAAATTGCAAAAAAAAAGTAAAAAGTAAAATAAAAAAATAAAGTCAATTTTTAAAAAGTAAAGCAAAGTGTTAAGGCTAGAGGACTTTTATTTACAAAAAGGAAAGAGAAGGCAGGGACAGCTGATGACCAGATCGTTATCTGTCTGATTCTAAGAGTACCAAGATAGTTGCATTAATATACTTGGATATAAGACATTAACTTTAAATATTAGACATTCAAGCGGAGTGAGAATTACTGAATTGCTCTGAATTACTATTTAGCATTTCTGCTGAACAGCAAAGTAACTATTAACGTCTGCACACTGTGCCTCCCTGGGCTCAGCCCGTCTTCATGCACTGGGAAAATGAAGTCACTGAAAATAACCCAAACTTCCCCTAAAACATTGCAGGAAGGACTTAAATGGTACTTTGTGTTTAATTTGTGCTTACATTTTTTTAAGGTAGGGATAAGACTAAAGAATGAAAAATTTATACACAATGTCATAATTAAAAAATGTAAATGCTTAGGTAAAAGTCTGGAAAAGAACTTAGAAAAATTAATACCAGTAACTGGTTAAAGTGGATATTTTTAATTGACTAAAGTTTGAATGGAATTTTTACATTTACCTTTCCCATAAAGTATGGAGGGAAAGAAAGGAGAAGAAAAAGAAGGATACATTGACTGTCTTAACGATCTAAAGATATTAAAGGCTAGAGTTGGAATGGAAAAGCCATTGGATACATAGGAATGTGTGTGTGTGTGTGTGTTTACAAAACAAACAAATTAATTAAGAAAAATGTATATGTATGTTCCCAAAACTAGGATTTCCTAAAACTAGCATTCATCCATTCAACTTCCTCTCCCATCGCCTTCTCTCACTCACTCCACTCCAGCTACACTAGTCCTTCTGTTCTGTGAACATGAAATTCATTTTTTCCACAAAGCTTTCACTCACCAATGCCCCTTCCTGAAGCAGTATTCACTCTTATGTATATTCATTTTGCTTGTGCTTTCTCATCTTTCATATCTTCACAAAATATCTCCTCAGAGAAGCATTCTAAGACTACCTTCTCAAAAAATATTTCCCATAATTTTATACCATTTTCTCAATCTGCTACATGACAACACTTTCTTAAATCAGCAAAATTATTACTTTGTTTATTTTCTTTCCTATTTCACTAGAAAAACAAGCTCCATAATATATCTGAGTCTCAATTTTCCCCAGTGAATAATTAGGGTCTGGTATCCATATATCAGGTACATGATAATGATTTACTTAATGTAAGAATTAAACCACCAAATATCTATTAAAATAAGCGACTCTTATTAGTAACTATTAAATAAGTGACTATTAAATTTATTGAAATAAGTGACTGTAAACAGACATGGTTGGCATACAATGATGAATAAATTATCTACATCCTCATGGAACCCACAGACTTTTGGGGAAGATATTCAATAAACAAGTAAAACAAAATACAGTAAACTTCTTCAAATGATGAGATATTCTATGAAGAAATAAATAGGTTCTATGAGAAAGTAAGGAAAGAAGAAGCTACTTTAGATGATCTCTGAGGTGGATTTTAATACGGAGAATCAAGTGTCAATCATAAAAATAAGGGCAGACACAGGATAATGGCAGAGCCAGAATTTGAATTCACATAGTCTGGCTCCACAGTCTAGGGCCTTAACCACTACCCAATGCTGCCTCTCTAAAGAGCAGAATCATGCAAAATGCAAGCTTCATGTCACTTAAATATTTATACTCACTGTAAAAAAGATTTTAAAAATCATGGGTCATGGGATCCTAGAAAAGAAAAATATCTGAAACACAGACTAAGAGAAGACGGATTCCTTAGGAATCTTATACGAGTATGAAGAAAGAGACAAATCTACATATACCACTAAATCATTTCCTTAGAACAGTAAATTGTATATTTCTTACCTTAATACCTATTGCAACAATAAGGTGCTTGGGAAACTGAGAGCTGTCAAAACAATACAGACACCTTTCCATTTGTGCAGCAAGACTCCGGTGCTCAGCAATAGCTTTTTTCCTCTGGTTTTCTGCTTCTTCACCAAAATGTTCTTTTTCAGCTGCTTTGGAGACAAACATGTCATCCAGAGTGTAATAGTCTCCATCTGTCTTTCCCATAAACTGAAAAACCAAAACAGCAGTAGTGGGAAGTAGAAGGTAGCAGTTAGATTTTATTGTACTAAAGCATACTTAAATAATATTTGTAAGTTCTATGATAAAATGCTTACATTTTTTTAAAAAGGAGAAAAAGAAAACATGATTAAAATGTAAGCTTGACCTTCAAGGGTCAATCCATCATCACATCATATCATCATCACAGCTGACATTTAATGAGTAATTGCTATGTGCAATTCTATGAGTTTGACTGTTTTACACTCCTAGGAAGAGGAGACCATTCTCATTTCCATTTAATAAATGAAGAAACTAAACCACAGAGAACCACTGTCACTTTAAAATTAGCATATACTCTATACAGAACATAAAACATTTTTCAACTATATCTCTAGGTGCCTTCGCCACATCTCCCCTAATATAAACTGTACCCAGGGTGATACTTTTAACACAAAACACAAATTTTACTATGTTCCTGATTAAAATCCTCCAAGAGCTCTGCACTGAGAACAAAATCAAGTTCAAACTCTGGTTTGGTGTACTAAATCATAAACACAGAAAGGCATAATAGATAAAAGCTTGACCTCTACAGTCAGAATGACCATGGTAAAATTCTACTGCCTGTCTGTGCTCTCTCTCTCTACTTTATTTCCTCATTTTACAATGGTTATAACAATACTAGTGGCCCAGCACACAAAATTCATGTGGAGGGGGAGGGGGGAGTGTCCCTCAGCCCAGCCTGCACCCTCTCCTATCTGGGACCCCTCGGGGGATGTCCGACTCGCGGTTTAGGCCCGATC